CCCCGATTCTGGTTATTTTTTTGGATTTTTTTGGTCACACTTGGAGGTGCTCAGGGGTCACTTCTTGGCAGGCTCAGATGGCGTACCAGGGATGGAACCCAGATTGGCTGTAGGCAAGGTAAGCACCCTACCTGCTGTACTATCTCTCCACACCCCCTCCCAATTCTGATATGGCATGACTCCACAATGATATCGCATTAAGATTTTAGTATTTTCCCTCCTGACCTTGTTTGCTTTCTGTGACCTATCTTTTCCACTCATGGGTTCCCTGGTCTCCTGCCTTGACCCCAGATATGGGATTTTTACCAGTCCCTCCCTCCCACCCCTGCCCCTCCACCTTGGAATATACTGGGAGCCCCAGTTGAGAAATAATGCTTCATCTTGCTTAGTTGCATGTTTCCATCTTTGACTATGCGATTTGGAAAAGCTGTCATCCTGCGCTTGGTTCCTAATCCCATCAGCATCTAATGAGAATGGATTCTGGTCTGAGGTCGGCCCCAGGAATGTGTTGAGATCACTGTGGTGCCGGGGAATGAGAGAACTTAAGGCTCCGGGTTCTGTGATGATTGGCTGGAGATCCTGTGCTGATTGGCCGGACATGAGAGAGGGTGGGCTGCGGATTCTGCGCTGATTGGTTGGGCACCAGAGAGGCTGTACTGCAGTTTCTGTGTTGATTGGCCAGGAATGAGAGCGGATGTGCTGCGGATTCTGCGCTGACTGGCTGGGCATGAGAGAAGGTGGGCTGCGGATTCTGTGCTGATTGGCTGGGCATACGAGAGGGTGGGCTGTGGATTCTGTGCTGATTGGCCGGGCATGAGAGAGGGTGGGCTACGAATTCTGCGCTGATTGGCTGGTCATGAGAGTTGAACCAGAGAGTCTGTGCTGATTGGCTGGCAGGGCTGGCAGTTCTGTGCTGGACCCATTTGCTGGCTTCCCAGTGGGATTCCACAGCTGTTGCTGATGCAGTCATTTCCACTTGTGTTCAGAAGGCTGCATCCTGCCCTGAACTCTGAGGAAATGCTTGCCGCCCCCGTCTCTCTTGGGGCTACCTTAGCTTGAGGTAGATCGCATGTTCTGCCTGTCACTTCTGCTGCTTGGTAAACTGACCCGTGTGGTTGGCCTCTTGGTCTTTGCTTTTGGGGGACCTACTCTTTGGGGGCCTGTTTTCTCCGGAAACTCCTGGGGATGCCCAGCCAGGGGAGAGCCAAATGGGGCGGGGCAGGGAACTTGTAACTGGGAGCAGGGACGAAGTGGAGGGCTTCCTCTGGGCTTCTACTATGCAGTCAAACTGACACCTCTGTGTCCCCTTCCACCACAGGGCTGGTGGGAGAAGGATGTGCCCCCCCTCCCGCTGCCCTGTCCCCCAACCCAGAAGATCTAGGCCCTCAGAGAAAAGTTCTTCTACCCTTGGAGGGACCTTCCAAGGACCCCCTCTCCAGCTGCACTCACCTGCCCAAGGTGAGGGGTGGGGCGGGGAAGGGGGAGGGCTCAGCTCCTGGCTGTGCTGTCCTGGGCAGAGGGCTGAACCACAAGGTCAGCAAACTGCTGGGCAGGTGGGGGGCCAGGCAGTGAGGCAGTGAGGCTCGCTGCCTCGGTCCTCCGGCTGAGGGAGGACTCAGGTGCGTGGGGACTCTTGGTGGCTGGGCAGCAGTGCAGTAGCCAGCAGAAGCTGCAGATGCAGGCCAGCAGTGACAGGGTCCAGGGCGCGGGACCACTGGTGGCCCAGCTGGGAATTTCACAGGAAGTGGGCTCAGCCCTCAGGCGGGAAGGGCCGTGGGCAGAACCAAGGCGGAAGCGACGGGAGAGGAGGGTGAGGATGGCAATGAGGGGTACTCGTTGCCGCGGGCAGAGGCGGGAGGGATGGGGCACGCTGGAGACAGGGAGCAGGTGCGAAGGGAAGGGGGCAGGGGTGCGTCCAGTTGGGGCTGAGCTGAGGTCACTCGGGGACACCCCAGCGAGGCCTGTGACACAGCCTGGCAGGAGGGAGGCTGGTGGGGCAGCTGGTGGTCAGGCAGGATGGAGGGGCCTGGTCACTAGCTCCCCAGGGACAGAGATGCTGCTGGCGTGGTCTCTGCTGGACCCCGACATGGCTGAGGACCTGCAGGTGGACAGTCCACAATCCACACAGACGGTGGGCCACTTGTCCGGATGCTGTGCCAGCTCTGCCCTCCCCCTCTCCACCACCCCCAACCGTGGAGCTGCTGGCAGGAGGTCATCCTGCTTCTGTCTCTGTGTGTGTCTCCGCCAGACCAGCTGTCTCACGGGGCTCCTGCTTTGGGGACTGTCACCTCGCTACTGGGCCAGCGCTGCTGGGGCCGGCAGTGTCTGGCCCAGGTGACAGCCAGGAGGTCTCTCGCTTCTCGACCTCCTCTTCCTCATTTTTCGGAGGAGTCTCACCCCGCTGTGCTCAGGGATGACTCCTGGCTCTATGCTCAGGGATCACTCCCTGGGGGGCCCTAATGGGTGCTGGGGATCCAACCCATGTCTGCCCAAGGCAAGTGCTTCTCCGATGTCCGCTCTCCAGCCAGACTCTGGAACTTCTGAATCGACAGCATGTGAATTTAGCTGGTCACTCTGCATGCACTGATGTGTGCACGTGGACATGTGCGTGTGTGTCCACACAGACATGTATGCAATGCATGTGGACACATCCGAGCGTTTGCCATGTGTGTTCATGTGTCTGCATGCATGTGTGTATATTCATGTCTGTGAGGGCACAGACATGGATGCATCTCTGTGCACATACAAGTGAGCCATGTCTGTGGCTGATGTGCACATCCGGGCATGCATAGGGATACGTGTGTATATGCAAGTGCATGCATATGTGTGCAGGTATACACGGATGCACATGGACACATGCCAGCACGCACTGTGTATATAATGAACCTAGAAGCTCTGCTGGGCCTGGGCCTTCAGGGCTGACCATGGCCCTGCCGCTCTGGCTTTGTTTTCCTGCCCACAGGCTGGGAGGAGGGGCAGGTGTGGGGGGCCAGGTACTCTGCCTCCTGAGTGCCTGCAGACCCGCCCAGATGGCCCCCCAATCCTAAACTCAGGCCCCCAAGAGTGCCACCTGGTGCCCACTGCAGCCCAGGGCCCCTGGAGCATGCGCGAGTCGGGCTCTCCAGAGCGGCTCCCGGGGATGAGCGACCCTGGATGCAGGGGCCTGTGTAGGGGACGCTGAGCGCTTGTGGGTATAAACCTGCATGGACGGCACCTGCTCCCTGTGTCCACGTGAGTCTGGGGCAAGCCACCCTCACGCCTCCCCAGAAATGCACAGGCCAGCTCACAGTGGCAGGTGCCCGGGCGGGCCCGTGGGGGGTGGGCAGACAGCTTGGGGCGAGCGAGAGGGAAGTGCCTCATTCCTGCTGCCCCCAACATGTTTCAGTGACGGGGCTATTCTCAGGAGATTTCTGTGTCACCCCCCCTGCACCCCAAAACTGTGGCCATGAGCACCAGTGTCCCGGGGGGGGGCAGGTTGTGTGTGTGTGTGGCGCCACCCGCGAGGCCCAGCTCCCCAGATGACACCCTCTTGGGTCTGAGACAGCAGCCAGCCCAGGAAAAGAGGTTAAAACCAACATTTATTTAAAACAAATTATATTAAGAAGACGAGACACACAGTGAAACTGCCCGTGGGGGGCCCGAGAGTCACCTCAATAAATACAAGGGGTGGGGGACGGCGTTCACGACCACGTGTCTGTGCCTCACTGGGCTTTCAGCCGGGATGGCGGCCCCCAACGTGGAGGGGGCACGGTGCCTGAGCAGGCAGGTGAGGGGGTGGCCTGTGGGGCACCGTCAGGGGGGCGCCCCGCGTCCTCCTGGCAGGAAAGGCGGGGCATTGTGTGCTTTGGGGGGACCCCTGAGGGGCTGCTCCTGGCCCCTCATTCTGGGAAGGATGAGGAGGAAAATGTGCTTCTAGTGGCCCAGGCGCGGCAAGGGGGCAGGTGCTGGGGGAGGGGGGTCACCCCAGGCTCTCACATGTCCATGGGGATCTGCAGGTGACCAGTGGGGGGTGGGTTCCACATCCCCTGGGCACCTCTGAGCACTGCCAGGAGGACCTGCCTGACCCCCAAACACGGCCTGGAGTGTGGGGGCACCTTGGGGTGCCCGGAACAGCACCAGGGTCGGACCCCGAAGTTGCAGGTCAGGGTGGACAGCCAGGAGACACCCCTCAGCCGCGGGCCCTCCTGCCCCCTTGCTCGGGTCTCCACCCTCTGCACCCGCAGAGCTTTGGGGACATCCGGCTCTGCAGCAGGGTGTGGGGCTGGTAGGGGGAGGGTTGGGGGGTGCTGGAATTTCAGGCCGCGGTGACATCACAGGAGGACACGATGCTCCGTGGGCAGGTCAATGACCCAGAGCAGGGACAGGTGGGCTGTCGGGGTCCCCCAGTTCCCCGGAAGCTGCCTGCTTAGTCCTGGCTGAGTTTGGCCCCTCTGTTCCCCGCGGCCCCCGGCTCCCACCACTTCCTGGCACCTCATCGAGCACCGAGTCAGGGTGCGGGGGAAGCTTCGGCAGGGGATGGAGCATGGTCGGGGTACCCCCTCCTGGTGCACTGCCCCCCACAGTCTGCCCATGCCCTCTATGTCCAGGGGACCCCGAGGTGGGTGTGACACCGGGAACCTCTCGAGGCCCATGTCAGTGCCCGGCGTGGGCCCCGGGGCAGGAGGGGGGCACGGGCGGACAGATGGCGGAAGTTGGCTCCTGAGGTGGGGCCCAGCCCCCGGGCAGTCGCAGCTGCTGTTGGCACCCGGGCACTTGGCTGGGGAGGGCAGAAGGGAGAGCACCGGGCAGTGAGCCCCCGCGGCGGCTCCTCCGGGAGGCGAGTCTCAGTGCCGCGAGGGCGTCCAGTGTGGGACCCGGGACCTGGCTTGGCGGCGGCGGTCAGTCCTGGAGGACGCGGTGACTCGGGGCAGGGTGCTGGGGACAGACACACTGGGAGCTGCTGGTCACTAGGAGACACACGGGTTAGTCGCGATCACGAGGGTCCCGGGGAGGCGAGGACCCGGCCTGTCGGGCGCTCAGGACTGCGGCGGCTGCTGGCAGCGCGTGGGGCTGGGCGGGAGGCGGGCGGCCGCGCTCTGCTCCGTGCGGAAGCTGTACTCGTACTGCGGGGGACAAGACGTGTTAGGGATGGGGACACGGGCAGGGACAGCAACACGTTAAGGCAGGGGACAGACAGGTCAGGGAGGGTGGGATGCCTCTCTTGCCTGTCCCTTGCGCTGTGGGCTGATTGCCCAGGCTGACCTCTGCCCAGTGGAGGTGGAGCCATGGGGGGCGGCAGGGATGGCCCCTCTAGTCCCGGGGCTCCCAGAGTGCAGGACACCGGAGGGGACTGTCCCCGGGAGTTGTCCCAAACAGGGACGCCCAAGCATGTCCAACCCCGAAAGCCAGGTCCATGGCACGAGGGCCCCGTGGATGCCGAGTTCACGGCACCTTCCCCGGGAGCCCTCGGATGGCCCTCTGACCCACCACGTACTTCCTATCCCTCCTGCTATCCCCGGGGACAGGACTGGTCCTGTCTGACCCCCCAGGCCTCCTGCGGTGGCCGGGTTGAAGTTGGGGAGGTGAACGGCCAGCTCCCAGCTCTGGCCGCCTGCTGGCCCTGCAGAGACTTAAAGCCACCAGCTCCCGGGAGAGGGACCTGGAACAAAGTCTGGGGCAACACCGCCACCTGGTGGCTGCTCGGCAGGCGACAAGAAAGGGCCACTGCTGGGCTGGTCAGGGGCGCCTGGGAGTGGGCGCTGTGCAAGAGGGGTGCTCCGGAATCGGAGGAGGTCTTTGAGCACCTTGGGGGGCCCTGGGAACTCAAGGGGTCTGTGAGCACCTCTGGGGGGCTCGGGAGCCCGAAAGGGTCCGTAAACACAGCAGACGCGGGTGCTGGACAGGGCTGGACGGGCGGGGCGCAGGGTGCAGGGTGCAGGGACATTGGCTGGGATGAGGGTCTCGGCGCGCATATCCCGCACCTGCCGTCCCCCTGATTGCAGCGGGTGTCCCCGGCCTAATCCCCCCTTCCCGGAGCCCCGAGTGTTTGCCCAAGGCGGCGCAGTTGCCTTTGAAGGTGGATTCAGCCGGGATCTGTTTACTGAAGACATTAGTCTCCCGCATAAGGAAAACCTGCACTCGAGCACAAACAGCAAATCCTTTTTGAATTAAAAAAAAAAAAAAAAAAAAAAAAATTCAATTAAAGGGCTTGGGGGCTGGCGCGCCGAGTCGCAGCGCCCTCTGGTGGGCGCATGTCGCTATGGCGCGGCTGGTGGCGCCTCAGCTGGAGCTCAGCAGGGCAGGGCGGCTGCAGGGGGAACTTTCGCACCCCTGCCCCCGAGTCCCGGGGAGGCCGGGGCTCCTGGCTGCGTCTGAGTCAATGAGTCGCCCCTGTGCCCCAACTCACTCCCATAGGCACTCAGAGAACCACGCAGGGCAGGGGTGGAGGTGCCACCAGGGAAGGGCACAGCACCGCCCCCCGCCCCCCAACATGACCCCGTCTGGAGCCCAGCGGCGCGCAGTGGCCCGCGGGATGGCGTGGGGGGGGCAGCATTTCAAAAAGCACCCGGTGAGGGGCTTGCAGGCGGTTAACCCGGGTTTGCTCCCCAGCACCCCATATGGCCCTCTGAGCACCACCAGGGGTGATCCCTGACACCCTGAGCAGCACCGGGAGAGGCTGAGCCCAGCACCCCAGGATTCTAACTCCCGTGGCCTGAAAACTTGCACCAGCGGTCATGGGGCCTGGGGGCGGGGCAGGGCTGGGGGCGTGGAAGGTGCCGGCACCCTGGGATGGCCCCCTTGTGGAGGGGACTCTTTGGGACCACACTGAGGAGGTGTGGGCTGGCACTAGGGGGGTGGTCAGGAGCAGGGCCCTCTCATGGGGGTATCCAGACCCAGAAGCTGGCTCCAGGCCCCGATGCCCTCCTGGAGGCAGGCCATGGCCCTGGGTGCCCGGCAGTGGCTGTCATGCTGAGACTCTGAGGTGACGCCACTTCAAGCTCCTGCAGGGGACACTGAGGAAGGAGCCACGACCGTTGGTCATGTCTTAGTCTGGGGGGGAGCTCCCACCCCTCAGTTCCTGTCTCTCTCTCCATGGGAGAGACCAGGAGATAGTGAGGGGGGGTGGGGACGGCTGCCAGGACTGCATGCCCCATTCCAGGAGAAGGTTCCAGAATGTTTAGCAGGGCCCTATATTGCTCCCTCAATTGGTGGAGAAAAGGCCCCTGAGGCCATGAGCCCTCCCTGTGGTCACTAACCAGGACAGGGGGTGGGGGCAGGGCCTCCCCACCAGGGGTGACGGTGCAAAGTGGGTGCTGCTGGGGGCTGAGACCCCCAGCGCCCAGGGTCCTACCAGCCAGGGGGCGTCCTCCTCACTGCACCCACCGCTCCATTCACTGCTCCGGTACCACAAGGTGCAGTCACACACACCTTCCATGGGCGTCTGGGTGACGACTGGCCCCCAGAGTCCCGGGTGAGGGTGGTGGTCCCAGCTATCCACTCCGGACATTCCTTCCTGGTGGCTGAGCCTTGAAGCCTGGCTTTAGGGAGGGGCCCCTGGGGGGGGTGGGCAGGGATCAGACCTATGTTGGGGGGGATCCCCGCCCCTCCTGCACCCAGGTGGGGGGGCGGTGTGCTGGCTGGAACGAGGGTGGAGTGGGTGATGGAGAGACAGAGACCAGGCAGCTGGCATGGATGCAGTTCTGGGGAGCATGTGTGGGGGGGTGTGGCTTGTCGGCTTCAACTTTGGTGGAAGCAGCCAAGCCCTGAGGGGCCCCCTGAGTGAGACGGTGCGGGGGCTCATCCCCAGTGCCCCGGGTCCGGCGTGAAGGGCCAAACCCCAGCACGGTGGGGTTCATGGCTGATGCTTGATGCTTCCGGGGGGAAGCCTGCTCAGAGTAGCGACAGGCGCTGAGAGCTGCGTGTCCACCTGCTGCCCCCCGCTGCTGTCCCTCTAGAGGCTGCTCTCCCACCCTCCACACTCTGCTGGGGGGGGCAGTCCCCTTGCCTGGGTCGGTATGATGGCCACACCTGGAAGTGCTCAGGGTGCACCCCGACCTCCTCTGCCCGCAAACCCTGTGCTCAGCCCCCCAGGCCAGGGCATGGGAGAGAACTTTGGAGGTGTCGGGCCTGTCTGCTCCATGTGGGGTTTGGGGTTCACATCTCTTCTGGGGTCTGTGTGCCACGGGGAGAGGTTGGTCCTTCCCTCATCGAGTCAGGACCCAGAACTCACCTGCCAACTGCTAGAAATGCACAAAGCCCGGGTCTCCCCAGAGGAAACAGTGCCCTCCCCGGGCAGAGCGGGAATGTGGGAGGGGGTCTCTCCCTAGAGGAGGCCCCTTCTCCCCTCTATGGTCCTGCCCACGTGTGCCAGGAGCCTGCCAAGAATCCACTGCGGGGGAGGCGCTTTAAAACGTGGGGGGGTCAAAGCCTGGACCCCCCCGCCACCAGCCGGGACCCCCCCTCCTGTGAAGGCTGACAGGAGTCCTGCCCTCACGGGGGTTGGCGCTTTGCACGATCTGGGGTGCGGCTCCTGCCATGGGTCCCAAGTCCCCTCCCATCAGCCTTCCCCCAAATGCCGTGGGGAAGGGGGTCCCCGAGATGCTCAGAGATGGGAGATCTGTTCAACCGATCTACCCTCTGAACATGCCCGTGGAGGAGGAAGAGAGTCCTCTCAAGTGATGGCTGAAAGACATCTATCCAAGGCCACCCTCCATGCCTGCTAAAAAACATTTAGGAAAAGAAAAGAATTAGCTAATTCTTAAATATGATCCTTTTGTTTCTTTTTTTTTTTTTAAAGGGCCCCATCATCATGGAGCTGGCCAGAATGGGTGTGTGGGGACAGGCAGCTCAGGAGAAGCAGGCCTGCCTGCCCAGGAACGGGGCTCCCCTCAGGGGAGCTGCCCAGCTGGGCCGTGGGACAGGAGTCACAGGACCTGGAACGGTCAAAGCAGCCGGAGCCCAGCCTAGACCGCCAAAACCAACAGCTTCCAGACTCAGAAACCAGCAAAGATGATGCAAGGAAACCCGCACTCATGGAGCCACGGAAACACCTGGGACCCTCCTGCCAGGGGCAGCATGCAGCGGGGGAAACCCCCGGCCAGGGCAGCCTCATCCGCCTACCACAGGACTCCAGCCAGTTACGAGGATGTAGGCCAGACTGTCCCCGGGAAAGAGCCTAGCGTTCTAGAGTTTGGATTGGAGCAATAGCACAGCGGGCAGGGCATTTGCCTTGCACACGGCAGACCTGGGTTTGATTCCCAGCACCGCCAGGAGTAATTCCTGAGTGCAGAGCCAGGAGTAACCACTGTGCATCTCCAGGTGTAATCCAAAAAAAGCAAAAAAAAAAAAAAAAAAAAAAAAAAAAAAAGCCTAGGGTTCAGCTGGAAGAAGAATCAGAAACTCAGGGGCAGGGTGTGTGAAGAACACATCTCTAATCTTAGCAAAGCTCATTAAACAGTTTTAGAGCCTGCTGGACCCCCTGACGGGTGGAAGTGGGGGTCAAGGGAGCAATTCCATCACGGAAAAATTTCTTTAATTTTTTAATTTTTAAAATTTCAAAAATTTCATTTTTTTTCCTTTTTGCTTTTTGGGTCACACCTGGCGATGCGCAGGGGTTACTCCTGGCTCTGCACTCAGGAATTACTTGCCTGGTGGTGATCGGGGGACCATACGGGATGCCGGGGATCGAACGCGGGTCGGCCGCGTGCAAGGCAAAACGCTCTACCTGCTGTACTATTGCTCCAGCCCCAAACTGTTTCCATTTTGGGGCTTCCCAAGCAGTGCTCTAAGGGCCTGGGGGCGGGGGTGGGCACTGCTGCTGATGTCCCGTCCACTGGGATCTTCATGTGCAAGGCCGACAGGAGTCCTGCCTTCACGGGCGCCGACCCCTGAGCCATCTCCCTGGCCCCAAGAAATTCATGTTAAATGAGGTGGTTGGGGCTGGGATATAGCTCAGTGGTGGAGGTGCTGGATTTGATCCCTGCACCCCCCACACACACATGCACACATATGTGCCCATATGTGCATTCATGCACATGCATGCACACACACACACGTGGCTTAGACTTGGGGAAAATAAAGCTGGTTTGGCTCTGACCTTCCCAGGCGGGTAAGTCGTTGAAAA